TCCTACGTCCACCCCCCACTCTACCCCCACCCTACCCGTTATACCTCCCAACTTCTACTACCACCCTTTCTGTTCTTCCATTCTACCTCTACTACCATCCTACATCCACTCCACCCCCACCCTACCCATTCTTCCATCCTACGTACATCCCCACCCTACCTGTTCTTCCATTTTACCTCTACTACCACCCTACCTCTACTACTATCCGACTTCCACCCCACCCCCACCCTACCTGTTCTTCCATTCTACCTCTACTACCATCCTACCTCTACTACCATCCTACATCCACCCCATCCCACCCTACCTGTTCTTCCATTTTACCTCTACTACTATCCTACATCTACCCCACCCTTCGTCTACCCCCATTCTATGCCTACCCCCACCATACCTGTTCTTCAAGCCTACCTCTGCTACTATCTTTCGTCTACCACCACCCAACCTATTTTTTCCAACATCTACTACCATCCTACGTCCACCCCCCACTCTACCCCCACCCTACCCGTTATACCTCGCAACTTCTACTACCACCCTTTCTGTTCTTCCATTCTACCTCTACTACCATCCTACATCCACTCCACCCCCATCCTACCCATTCTTCCATCCTACGTACACCCCCACCCTACCCATTCTACGATGATACCTCTACTACCATCCTACGTCCATCCCCCACTCTATCCTCACCCTACCCCTTCTTCCATTCTACTCTACTACCATCCTACCTCTACTACCACCCTACCTGTTCTTCTATTCTACCTCTATACTACCATCCTTCCTCTACTACCATCCTACGTCCACCCCCACTCTACCCCCACCCTACCCATTCTTCCATCCTACCTCTACTACCATCCTACGTCCACCCCCACCCTACCCCTTCTTCCATTCTACCTCTACTACCATCCTACCTGTACTACAATCCTACATTCACTCCACCCCCACCCTACCTGTTCTTCCATTTTTCCCCCATCCTACGTCTACCCCCACTCTACCCCCACCCTACCTGTTCTTCCATTTTACCTCTACTACCATCATACGTCCACCCCCACTCTACCCCCACCCTACCCCTTCTTCCATTCTACCTCTACTACCATCCTACCTCTACTACCATCCTACATCCACCCTACCCCCACCCTACCTGTTCTTCCATTTTACCTCTACTACCATCCTACCTCTACTACTATCCGACTTCCACCCCACCCCCACCCTACCTGTTCTTCCATTCTACCTCTACTACCATCCTACCTCTACTACCATCCTACATCCACCCCACCCCAACCCTACCTCTTCTTCCATTTTACCTCTACTACCATCCTACCTCTACTACCATCCTACATCCACCCCATCCCACCCTACCTGTTCTTCCATTTTACCTCTACTACTATCCTACATCTACCCCACCCTTCGTCTACCCCCATTCTATGCCTACCCCCACCATACCTGTTCTTCAAGCCTACCTCTGCTACTATCTTTCGTCTACCACCACCCAACCTATTTTTTCCAACATCTACTACCATCCTACGTCCACCCCCCACTCTACCCCCACCCTACCCGTTATACCTCCCAACTTCTACTACCACCCTTTCTGTTCTTCCATTCTACCTCTACTACCATCCTACATCCACTCCACCCCCATCCTACCCATTCTTCCATCCTACGTACACCCCCACCCTACCCATTCTACGATGATACCTCTACTACCATCCTACGTCCATCCCCCACTCTATCCTCACCCTACCCCTTCTTCCATTCTACTCTACTACCATCCTACCTCTACTACCACCCTACCTGTTCTTCTATTCTACCTCTATACTACCATCCTTCCTCTACTACCATCCTACGTCCACCCCCACTCTACCCCCACCCTACCCATTCTTCCATCCTACCTCTACTACCATCCTACGTCCACCCCCACCCTACCCCTTCTTCCATTCTACCTCTACTACCATCCTACCTGTACTACAATCCTACATTCACTCCACCCCCACCCTACCTGTTCTTCCATTTTTCCCCCATCCTACGTCTACCCCCACTCTACCCCCACCCTACCTGTTCTTCCATTTTACCTCTACTACCATCATACGTCCACCCCCACCCTACCCCTTCTTCCATTCTACCTCTACTACCATCCTACCTCTACTACCATCCTACATCCACCCTACCCCCACCCTACCTGTTCTTCCATTTTACCTCTACTACCATCCTACCTCTACTACTATCCGACTTCCACCCCACCCCCACCCTACCTGTTCTTCCATTCTACCTCTACTACCATCCTACCTCTACTACCATCCTACATCCACCCCACCCCAACCCTACCTCTTCTTCCATTTTACCTCTACTACCATCCTACCTCTACTACCATCCTACATCCACCCCATCCCACCCTACCTGTTCTTCCATTTTACCTCTACTACTATCCTACATCTACCCCACCCTTCGTCTACCCCCATTCTATGCCTACCCCCACCATACCTGTTCTTCAAGCCTACCTCTGCTACTATCTTTCGTCTACCACCACCCAACCTATTTTTTCCAACATCTACTACCATCCTACGTCCACCCCCCACTCTACCCCCACCCTACCCGTTATACCTCCCAACTTCTACTACCACCCTTTCTGTTCTTCCATTCTACCTCTACTACCATCCTACATCCACTCCACCCCCATCCTACCCATTCTTCCATCCTACGTACACCCCCACCCTACCCATTCTACGATGATACCTCTACTACCATCCTACGTCCATCCCCCACTCTATCCTCACCCTACCCCTTCTTCCATTCTACTCTACTACCATCCTACCTCTACTACCACCCTACCTGTTCTTCTATTCTACCTCTATACTACCATCCTTCCTCTACTACCATCCTACGTCCACCCCCACTCTACCCCCACCCTACCCATTCTTCCATCCTACCTCTACTACCATCCTACGTCCACCCCCACCCTACCCCTTCTTCCATTCTACCTCTACTACCATCCTACCTGTACTACAATCCTACATTCACTCCACCCCCACCCTACCTGTTCTTCCATTTTTCCCCCATCCTACGTCTACCCCCACTCTACCCCCACCCTACCTGTTCTTCCATTTTACCTCTACTACCATCATACGTCCACCCCCACCCTACCCCTTCTTCCATTCTACCTCTACTACCATCCTACCTCTACTACCATCCTACATCCACCCTACCCCCACCCTACCTGTTCTTCCATTTTACCTCTACTACCATCCTACCTCTACTACTATCCGACTTCCACCCCACCCCCACCCTACCTGTTCTTCCATTCTACCTCTACTACCATCCTACCTCTACTACCATCCTACATCCACCCCACCCCAACCCTACCTCTTCTTCCATTTTACCTCTACTACCATCCTACCTCTACTACCATCCTACATCCACCCCATCCCACCCTACCTGTTCTTCCATTTTACCTCTACTACTATCCTACATCTACCCCACCCTTCGTCTACCCCCATTCTATGCCTACCCCCACCATACCTGTTCTTCAAGCCTACCTCTGCTACTATCTTTCGTCTACCACCACCCAACCTATTTTTTCCAACATCTACTACCATCCTACGTCCACCCCCCACTCTACCCCCACCCTACCCGTTATACCTCCCAACTTCTACTACCACCCTTTCTGTTCTTCCATTCTACCTCTACTACCATCCTACATCCACTCCACCCCCATCCTACCCATTCTTCCATCCTACGTACACCCCCACCCTACCCATTCTACGATGATACCTCTACTACCATCCTACGTCCATCCCCCACTCTATCCTCACCCTACCCCTTCTTCCATTCTACTCTTATTATGTTCTGTCAATGTTCAAGGTTGATGTTCAGCCAAATAAAGATGACAAATAAAGACGTATTCGTAACTTTAAAACTACATGGTGGTAGCATGGACTTTATTCGATGAAGGCATCGATGGAAACTGCGCGCGGTACATTGGGCAATGCGTATACATAAAATGACAAGTCAAGACATGCATAGTCTTAATTTCAGACGTCATACATAACATTCCTCCCCTTTTAGTGAATTACATGGGTACATCAAAATGAAATACATGTATCAAACTGGCATGCAGACTAGGCAGAACTATATAACAATATGGTCTTATTTTCTCAAAAAATGTTTGTATAGAGATGTGACACTGGCAAGACAGGAATGTACTCGCACAACTTGATTCTATTTAAAAAATTCTATTCCATGTATAACATAAACTAGCAACATTGCTTGGATGCATGTAAATACAACAACACAAAATTTTCACTGTTATAACAACCTATTTTTACTGATCTAAGTTTTACTTGAAGGTTGTTTGACACCTAAGGAACAACACTTTTCCTCCTTGAAAATAGTCAACATATGCATTATTTGATGCATTACTTTATGCATTACTTTATGCATTAATTACTTTATGCATGAAAACTTTACATGGCAAGAAAATAAAACAAACTCCTTGTACTTTGATACAAAACTGATTGGATCCAAACTTTATCAACTAACTTATCTCCTGGCATAATAAAGAACAGACCAAAATAAGTGACATTTTCTCCATGAAAATACATGTAGTATTTTTGATAAAATGTAGAACAATTTACACTGTTACTTTTAAAAACATCAACACTTGTGATGAATGCACCAAATTAGCTTTCATCGCTAAAGAAAAATGATTTTTCCTTTTTGATCATTGCCTTAATTATGTAACACATAAACAATACCTGTTGCACTTTTGCAGACTTATGCAATACAAAATTAAAAACATATTTAACCCCATAACAAATAGAGTTTGATCTACAATAGTTTCACTTGGCATAAATACAATTATCTTGCAAAATAATTCTTTACTGCTTTGCATTGGCTTTTAGTATGTCCAATTTCCTGGCATTGATAGCATTGCTCTTTCTGAAACGGACAGGATTGATGAACATGTCTTGTCGATCCACAACGCCAACACCTTAACTTCTGGTCAGTCCACTGACCTGTGGGCTTTTCCTTCTCAGTAAGCTTGGAATTCCACTTGCTTGAAGACCTTTCTTTCATCTGCGTGGTTCTTAACTGGTGAACCTCTTTGTCTTCACTACCATTGTCACTGGAGTGCAATTGTTCAACATCTCTATTAGCTATCTCCATGGCCATGGCTACTTTCAACGCTTTATCAAATGTAAGCTCTGATTCACTAAGAAGCTTTCTTTGTGTAGCTTTGTCCTTACAACCAACTACAAGGCGATCTCGAAGCATGCTATTCAATTCTTTAAACTTGCATCCTTCACTCAACTGGCGTAAACGAGCAACAAATTGCGGGATTGTTTCACGTGATTCTTGAACACAAGTATAAAACTTATACCTTTGGACTATTTCAGTTGGTTGGGGGGCAAAATGTTCAGACAGGGTATCCTTACATACTTGGTAAGTTTTATCAATTGGTTTGTTGGGCTGCAACAATGCACGTAATGTGGCATAGGATTTACTTCCTAATCCTGATAAGAATATACCCTTCTTCTTTGCATCTGCTGTAATATCATTAGCTATAAACCATGACTCAAGAACCTCAATCCAATCTTCAAATTTATACCCCGAGTCCAACTGAGGGACATTACCAAACATTTGTGCTGCCATGTTTATGTAAGGCGCATTAAACTTGTAATGAACAACTTTATACCATAACAAATACTTGCATAAATATTTGACTTGAAATACCAATACCAAACAACAACAACATTTGGGCTCTTTCCACTTCCACACATGTATCTAACACATACACATTTCTTTGACAAGCAATTTACAACTGAAGAACCAAATTCTTGACTTTAGACCTGGACTAGACTGCAAAGACTAGACCTAATTGTAATTATTGTCTGATTGTTAATAGGTTCTACTGTTATTTACTGTAAAAACCCCGAGACTAATGTCTAACTCTAAACTTGTAGACCTACTTAGATCCACATCTTCACACTTGAATCACACTTTAACTTGTAATGTTACTAGTCCTGGTCTGGGACTGGTCCTTACACTCAGTTACAAAACAGATTCATCATAACAATCGACAATATTATCAAATGAGTTCTAAATGTTTATTTGCTTGCATCAACATCACCATCACTTCATGATGAGTGGTCTGGCTTTCACTTGGGTGGGTTGCTACTAGTCCGAAACTATGAACTGAGTCAACTGACACTGTCACTGAACTGGATCCTGGTCCTAAATTGAAGGCAATCACGAAGTAACAACTTCCTGTATTTCAATTTTAAGGCTAAAACAAAACACTTCCTCCTCTAGTCTACGCTGCAGTAGATCTAGATACAGGAACCTGGATTCTGAAACAATGTATGCCGGGCGGGGCTGGCTGGGCGGGGCTGGCTGGGCTGGGCTGGCTGGGCTGGGCTGGCTGGCGGGCTGGGCTGGCTGGCTGGCGGGCTGGCTGGCTGGCCATGGGCTGGGCTGAATTGGCTTGCTGGCTGGCTGGGCAGGGCTGGGCTGGCTGGGCTGGGCTGGCTGGCTGGCTTGGCTGGCTGGCTGGGCGGGGCTGGCTGGGCTGGGCTGGGCTGGCTGGGCTGGCTGGCGGGCTGGGCTGGCTAGGCTGGCTGGCGGGCTGGGCTGGCTGGCTGGCGGGCTGGCTGGCTGACCATGGGCTGGGCCTTGAACTTGGTTGGAGCTTTCATGGGCTTGGCTACTGCCACTGAGTTGCATGGCCTACTGTAGTACTACTGCAGCACTGCCACTGGTTGATTGTTAAGTTGAAAGTTAGGTTGGGGGCATCCATTCACTATTCATCCAACTGCGGCTAATAAAGTTAAACTGATGAGGCAACATCAGCAAAAACAAATACTCGCTCACCTACGATCAACTGCTGGATCTCCTGGCTAAAGAGTTTTTCATCCAAATTAGGCAAACTCAGCTCCATTAGTTCGGTTCATTTGCTGAATACATGCTGATGCACAATTCTCCATAGCTGTACGTGCTGTACGGCAAAGCGTTCATAAAAAACTGCACGTGTACAGGCATAATTCCAAACCATGTCGGATCTCTGCTGGAGAAACTTTTTCAAGTCTTTATTTCAGCAACTGCGGCAAAACCAAACTAATCATCTCGACCTCGTCGCCAATATTATGTTCTGTCAATGTTCAAGGTTGATGTTCAGCCAAATAAAGATGACAAATAAAGACGTATTCGTAACTTTAAAACTACATGGTGGTAGCATGGACTTTATTCGATGAAGGCATCGATGGAAACTGCGCGCGGTACATTGGGCAATGCGTATACATAAAATGACAAGTCAAGACATGCATAGTCTTAATTTCAGACGTCATACATAACAACTCTACTACCATCCTACCTCTACTACCACCCTACCTGTTCTTCTATTCTACCTCTATACTACCATCCTTCCTCTACTACCATCCTACGTCCACCCCCACTCTACCCCCACCCTACCCATTCTTCCATCCTACCTCTACTACCATCCTACGTCCACCCCCACCCTACCCCTTCTTCCATTCTACCTCTACTACCATCCTACCTATATTACAATCCTACATTCACTCCACCCCCACCCTACCTGTTCTTCCATTTTACCCCATCCTACGTCTACCCCCACTCTACCCCCACCCTACCTGTTCTTCCATTTTACCTCTACTACCAGTACGTCCACCCCCACTCTACCCCCACCCTACCCCTTCTTCCATTCTACCTCTACTACCATCCTACCTCTACTACCATCCTACATCCACCCTACCCCCACCCTACCTGTTCTTCCATTTTACCTCTACTACCATCCTACCTCTACTACTATCCGACTTCCACCCCACCCCCACCCTACCTGTTCTTCCATTCTACCTCTACTACCATCCTACCTCTACTACCATCCTACATCCACCCCACCCCAACCCTACCTCTTCTTCCATTTTACCTCTACTACCATCCTACCTCTACTACCATCCTACCTCTACTACCATCCTACATCCACCCCATCCCACCCTACCTGTTCTTCCATTTTACCTCTACTACTATCCTAAGTCTACCCCACCCTTCGTCAACCCCCATTCTATGCCTACCCCCACCATACCTGTTCTTCAAGCCTACCTCTGCTACTATCTTTCGTCTACTACCACCCAACCTATTTTTTCCAACATCTACTACCATCCTACGTCCACCCCCCCCCCCCCCACTCTACCCCCACCCTACCCGTTCTACCTCCCAACTTCTACTACCACCCTTTCTGTTCTTCCATTCTACCTCTACTACCATCCTACATCCACTCCACCCCCATCCTACCCATTCTTCCATCCTACGTACACCCCCACCCTACCCATTCTACGATGATACCTCTACTACCATCCTACGTCCATCCCCCACTCTATCCTCACCCTACCCCTTCTTCCGTTCTACTCTACTACCATCCTACCTCTACTACCACCCTACCTGTTCTTCTATTCTACCTCTATACTACTGAAGAATTATTAGTGTGTAGATGAATTGTGAATGGAAATTGTAAAGGCGTGTTCACTGATCACACAACATAACTCTCTTTTTAATTTAACTACAAGGAAACAAGGTTGCACTGGCAATAAAATACATGATAAAAAGTCTTCCCTTTTCGTTATTTTATTGGGTACTGATTTGCAGACACAACACTTGCAAAGTGTAGTCATGCAAGCAAATAAATGATTCAGAATGAGAATCACATGAATAAGTATCGTGGATATTGCACGGAGTTTAAATGGTCATGTATGAGATGGACATGAATAAATGTAGTGAATGAGTAGAGCTTACGACAATGGTAGAAATGACGTCGAAAGTCCATGAAGATGATGATGGATGAAACGAAGAAAGGGGCTCACGCGATGATTGTGCGGAGGCTTGATGATGGAAACGCGACTTCGTTGACGTGGCTGAAGAGCCGAGAAGAACGCGATGTCGATGCCGACGCTCGTGATGATGATGAATGTAGCGCTCGGGCGAGAAGAGAAGAGAAGAGATGTGGCGCTCGACGACGAGGCAGTGAGTCGCTCGATGTCGGAGGCCCAGGTTGAAATGTAGACATCAAAGCCGGTATAGTGGTGATCGTGAAGAGCAATGAGTCGCTCGATGCTGGATCGATGAGCCGGACTTTGAAGTGAAATCATCGGAGTTGCAGTGAGATGGACTCGTTGATGAAAGTTCAGGCGAGCTACAGTGAATCGAGCTCGTGTGTGAAAAGAGTTACCGAAGCGAAGAAAATGACAGCTCCCAGCGGAGAATCAGGTGCCATGTCGGGTCCTGATTTAGACGTTCCACTGCAAGACTGCCCGTCCTTTGACGACGGCAGAGAAAGAGTTGATGTGCCATACAAGAGGTGATAGACACAGAAGAGAGTTCTCCAAAAGAAATGCAGGAGGTTAGAATTGAAGAAGGATTTGCTCCTTGTGTATGCATGAAGCAAATTGTAGAAGTAGAGGTGACATTCTCATATTGACGTGTTACTTCATCGAAGAACTATGAGAAGTGTAGTGGTGAAGAAAGTTAGAGAGTATGATGTTGTTTTCATCCTTCTTGGGAGGCAGGATAAAACAAAGAGGGTACTATATACCAATTCTGGGAAGGGAGAGTGAGTCACTGATGATTACCAGGTACAGGGACATTGAAGCCATTATGCTGACACTTGTTGATAAATATATAGGGGCAGTGCCTGGCATAATGTCAGAGGGCAATGTCCTCCCAAATTGGGTTTGCAAAGTAACAAATGAAATTGAGAAATGAAGAAAGATGAAATGAGGAAAATACTACACTACCATCCTTCCTCTACTACCATCCTACATCTACCCCACCCTCCCTGTTCTTCCATTTTACCTCTACTACCATCCTACGTCCACCCCCACTCTACCCCCACCCCCACTCTACCCCCACCCTACCCATTCTTCCATCCTACCTCTACTACCATCCTACTTCCACCCCCACCCTACCCCTTCTTCCATTCTACCTCTACTACCATCCTACCTCTACTACCATCCTACATCCACCCCAACCCACCCTACCTGTTCTTCCATTTTCCCCCATCCTACGTCTACCCCCACTCTACCCCCACCCTACCTGTTCTTCCATTTTACCTCTACTACCATCATACGTCCACCCCCACTCTACCCCCACCCTACCCCTTCTTCCATTCTACCTCTACTACCATCCTACCTCTACTACCATCCTACATCCACCCTACCCCCACCCTACCTGTTCTTCCATTTTACCTCTACTACCATCCTACCTCTACTACTATCCGACTTCCACCCCACCCCCACCCTACCTGTTCTTCCATTCTACCTCTACTACCATCCTACCTCTACTACCATCCTACATCTACCCCACCCCAACCCTACCTCTTCTTCCATTTTACCTCTACTACCATCCTACCTCTACTACCATCCTACCTCTACTACCATCCTACATCCACCCCATCCCACCCTACCTGTTCTTCCATTTTACCTCTACTACTATCCTACATCTACCCCACCCTTCGTCTACCCCCATTCTATGCCTACCCCCACCATACCTGTTCTTCAAGCCTACCTCTGCTACTATCTTTCGTCTACCACCACCCAACCTATTTTTTCCAACATCTACTACCATCCTACGTCCACCCCCCACTCTACCCCCACCCTACCCGTTATACCTCCCAACTTCTACTACCACCCTTTCTGTTCTTCCATTCTACCTCTACTACCATCCTACATCCACTCCACCCCCACCCTACCCATTCTTCCATCCTACGTACATCCCCACCCTACCTGTTCTTCCATTTTACCTCTACTACCACCCTACCTCTACTACTATCCGACTTCCACCCCACCCCCACCCTACCTGTTCTTCCATTCTACCTCTACTACCATCCTACCTCTACTACCATCCTACATCCACCCCACCCCAACCCTACCTCTTCTTCCATTTTACCTCTACTACCATCCTACCTCTACTACCATCCTACATCCACCCCATCCCACCCTACCTGTTCTTCCATTTTACCTCTACTACTATCCTACATCTACCCCACCCTTCGTCTACCCCCATTCTATGCCTACCCCCACCATACCTGTTCTTCAAGCCTACCTCTGCTACTATCTTTCGTCTACCACCACCCAACCTATTTTTTCCAACATCTACTACCATCCTACGTCCACCCCCCACTCTACCCCCACCCTACCCGTTATACCTCCCAACTTCTACTACCACCCTTTCTGTTCTTCCATTCTACCTCTACTACCATCCTACATCCACTCCACCCCCATCCTACCCATTCTTCCATCCTACGTACACCCCCACCCTACCCATTCTACGATGATACCTCTACTACCATCCTACGTCCATCCCCCACTCTATCCTCACCCTACCCCTTCTTCCATTCTACTCTACTACCATCCTACCTCTACTACCACCCTACCTGTTCTTCTATTCTACCTCTATACTACCATCCTTCCTCTACTACCATCCTACGTCCACCCCCACTCTACCCCCACCCTACCCATTCTTCCATCCTACCTCTACTACCATCCTACGTCCACCCCCACCCTACCCCTTCTTCCATTCTACCTCTACTACCATCCTACCTGTACTACAATCCTACATTCACTCCACCCCCACCCTACCTGTTCTTCCATTTTTCCCCCATCCTACGTCTACCCCCACTCTACCCCCACCCTACCTGTTCTTCCATTTTACCTCTA